CAGCTATCTCAATAATTTTCAGTAATTTTCTTCCGATATACGCCTTTGTAATATGGCATATTATTATTTGGGAATGGAAATCAAACATTTCGTTAGGAAAGTTTGATTTAAAGTTCAATATCGAAGCTTATAGAAATTGACAATAAGTTATAATTGCTCATTGTCGTTCGCTTAGCTGTCTCGTTTGATAAGAAATTTCATCACGGTAGTTCACTGAATTCCAGCACAGTTTTTACATTTGCAAATCTGGGAAGATTGATGAGCAGAATTCAATATTTGATTATACTCCAAGAAATTGGCGAAAGGATTAGCAGGGAGTTGAGAAACAATAAAATTGTGACCTGTTTTGAAATATTAGTGGTAATATGAATTGCATTTTATTTACTGATTTAACAGAGTAGTAGTCTATATTTTTATTTTTGCATCTTTTTAACCTTTTTCTTTACTCTGTATTGACTTGATTCTGCGAAAATCGGATGAAATGAATCGTAAGCCTTCACAGAAACTAGAAATCATGTTTTCTGTTACCAGTCACGTTTACACAAAGATTCTGAATGGCTCTTTCTTATTTAAAAATCTTTTGTCCATCATGTTTCATGCAATTATGATTTTATTTCTATTTCGTTGTTAACACATGGTACAACAAAGGAGTGAATTTAATAGAAAGTAAGTTTTCGAGATACGGAAGACAATACAATGCAATGGTTGAACTGAACTAATTCCAAGATCTATTGATCGCTGTTCCAGGATAAGCAGCAAATCTATCTAGAAGTTATTTAAAAACAATGTGCCAATCGATACTAATGCGACACTTCTATACTTCCCTTTCAAAAGTTCTCATAATTAATTAATTTAGTATAAATATAAAAGGACCATTTTCCAAATCTAAATTCTTTGATTCCCAAGAAATAACACTTATTTCTACGCACATATTTATCCGCCATCTTATTAGTTTATTTGCAATTACAGTTATCCTTCTTCTAGGATGATAGGGAACTAGCGAGCCTATTTTGCTTATGAACTTATTTTACCTGACCATTCAAATGAAGCCAATCCGGCATGGGGAAATTCTACCGGAAGCACAAACCATGCCATAGCTCAGAATCTCATTGGGATACGCAATCCTTCTCTCTCATGGCAAAAAGGCTTCCTTGAAGCAGATAAATAAATTAATATTCACCTACCATATTTTGTCAACTTGAGATAATAGAATATCATTGATTCATTTATCATCTACAATATCAAATGAAATAAAAAATATACCACAAGTAATACTCTTAAAAAAATGCAAAATTATCTAATGAACTGTATTAAATAACAATGAAATAATTAATTTTTCATTCTTTCTTATCCTTTCTTTTTTCACCATTAATTATACTTTTATTTTTTATCCTTATATTGTAATAAAAATTTCTTTCCATTTATATATGAATTCTGTTTTTTTTAATTTTTTTTATCTAAAAAATTAATCTGAAAGAAGTATTTTACAATGAAAAAGTTATAATACACAATTTTCGCAAAAAAAAAAAAAAAAAAAAAGAATAAAGAAATGCACATTATCATGCATATTATCGAAATTATTGCAAGACAGTATGTAATACATTGTGGTAACTAACAAATGACAAAGTTATTAAGTATTAAATAATGTTTAAGTAATACATATAGCATGAAAGGAACCATTGAGATGATACCATATTGGAAGGAAAAAAAACATTGTATGATTTTCTGGAATAAATAAAGATTATTCAATTTACAGTTTATGATTTAAGCTATTATGTACTACTTGTATTACCTGATGAATGATATTTACAACTAATAAAAGATTAGAAATTGTGATAATCCGTGATTACAATATCAATTAAAAAAGGGTCCCATTTGATAGAGAGATTAAATCATGATTTATCATAATTATAAGTCTTTCAATTTCCATTTAAAATGTCAAATCGTGATAATAAAAATCATTTCAATAAAAAAGTTTTGAATTGTCCTCTCTGAAATTAAATAATGAAAATAAAACTGCAACCGATGATTTTCAAATCATCCTGTTGACAAAAAAAAAAAACTTAAAATTAAATTTTTTGGAAGCAAATTTTTAGGATATACATTTGCATATACATAAATTAATTAAATTATGAAATTTGTCAATTTATTTCAAAAATAATTCGATCATTTTATGATATTTTCCAATAATATGCAAATTTCTGATATATTTTTAACATTCAAATTTAACGCTTTGAAAATTTTCAAAAGTTAATTATTAATGATATTCCATTACCATCTGTAAATCATTAAACTTTTTCGCGCTGAAATAATCCTCGATTATTTAAGTTATGCATTTCGATCCACCATTCCTTATCATTTCTGTTAAATGGCATATCAGATGATGTAGATGATAAGAAAGAATTATTGTAGATAAGAGTTTTAATATCATATTTTTGCATATCTTTTGCATCACTTTTTCGATTTCTTCTCTTATCAGATAATACGAATTGCTTATGATAAAATTGATTGATAGAAATGATAATAAAATAGATGAGCGCAATTGCAATAATAGTCGCTATAACTTCTAAGATAAGAAGTATTAACAAATATACGGTGTAATTTGGGAACTGAAATAAATTTTTGATTATTATTTTATGGTAATTTACAATTTAAAAAATTTCAAATAATAATTTGCATAATTATATGTTGCATTAATAATAAATGGAATGAAGGAATATTTCGGAAAACTTACATTTGAAATAATTTTAACAGTTATAGTACGGATATTATTTGCTTCATTTGCTACATCTGTTATAATTTGCTCTAATTTGGCCGAGAAATGATTCACTTCCGGTAGAGCTTTTTCAAACTCATTATCCATTCGATATAATGCCTGATGTATTTTTCCCAATGTCCACCGAATATTACGAATTTCATCATCAGCTGTCATCTATGATTAAATTAAATTTTAATTAATGTTAACAAGAATTCTATTGTATGCATCTTATTTCCATCTTACTTCTGATTTACTTTCGGTAGAGTTTTTTTTCAAATTCTTGAAATACAAAAATGCTACGAACTCATTTCTTAATTTGATGCATTACGAGAAGCATTTTAAATCATTAATATTTAAGTATCATTTAACAAAATGAAAAGTCTTGTAAAATTGTGATAAAATTCAAAAAATTAGCTCATAAAATTATTTTAGATAAAGAGAAAAAATCAAAAATTTATTACATCTTCAATTTTAAATCAAAGAAATCAAAAAAAAAATTTCTATTTTTCAAGTCGATTTTAACTTTAATTATTAAAATTTAAAATTATTTTTTCCATAAATTTTATGCAAAAATTAAGCAAAGCATCGGTTTTTTCTTTTCCTAGCAAAGAAATCATTATTGTTAAACAACAAAATATGTTAATCATTTGATTGCTTTCTTTTCATGTCTATCAGAAAACTTGACAATTTTATAATTTGCATTTTTGAAATTTAAATACCAAAATATTTGTTGGAAATGTTTTTTCCTAATGACGTATATATACGCAAAATTTCTAACAAGTACTCAGCAAAATTAAAATAGGTCAAAGGGTAAAGAAAGAACGAACGAATGAAAATAAATATTCTTCTAAATTAATTTGTCTAATTTTACCTCTAAAATTTAATTATTTATGCATAAGATAAAATTAATCAAATCTTACCGATGAAAATTGATTGTGTTTGGAAGAATTTGAAATGTTTTATTTCACGAAAAAGTCTTTCTAAAGATATTTGTAAAACGATAATTTCATTTTATTCTGAAGCATTTGTTATTAACCAATTATGTTCTATAAGCAGAGGAAAAATATAACTGAAAAAAATTCGTTTTTTTTTTTGTCATAAGAAATATAATTAATTAAAATAATGCCATAGCATCAAATACTGGTGTAATATTAAATGAATTAGAAATGAACAGGCAGGTAAGATAATATTTATTAATTAAAATTTGTTTTTTCCTAAAAATAAAGTAAAATGAAATACCGGCATTATTACTGACAACAGAAGGCACAAATGATTAAATAATCATTTTCTATTCGAAAAAAAAAAATGGGAAAAAAAAGAAAAAGAGAAATGATGAGATCATTAATACATATGACTAATTATGAAACAATTAAATTTATAGTTGTAATGGAAAGACAATAATTATTGTAAATTAGAAAAAATCATAAAATGATATCTGACCCAAGAGATATCTTGAAAACATTCGAACATTCTAGATTATTTTATTAATTAAAGAATATTGAAAAGTTTAAATATAATGAATTCATTCATACATTTTTGTTTGTTTGTTTGTTTTTTTTTTCTAAAAAGATATACAAATAAAAATGGAAAAATTAATTTGAATATAAATCTAATAAATGGAATAATAATTGTATTTAAATGTTTAACTAATCCAATATTATAACATCATTCATTATAATTTTATATCGAATAAAAAACTTTTGATTTTTCTAATATTATCACTGATATGATAATATTTCATTGTTGCTTTAATTGTGTTTTTCTTTTTTTTTTTTTAGTTTGAAAAACAAATTTAAATTAACAATAAAATGTGAGGAAAACAAAATTTTCGTTTTCTTCTTACAATAAGTAATTAAGCAAAAAATGAAG